GCAGTCCGATACGCTGCGCATCAGCTCAACCTCTGGCCCCGTGTCTCCTTACCGGAGACTTCTCTGACACTGCGTTGGACGGGAGAGGCTGGCGATGCGTCGCGTTTTCGGGTCTGGGGATCTCGAGCTTTTGTTCGCGACACGTCCGCGGACAAGCTCTCCCGTCGAGCTGTCCCCTGTGTCTTCCTTGGCTTTGTCCCGGACGCGCCTGGTTGGCAGTTCTACCACGCCACCTCGCGTCGTGTCCTGGCCTCTCAGGACGTCACTTTTGACGAGTCCGTCCCCTACTACCGCCTCTTCCCCTACCGCACTGCCCCGCTCCCCCCCCCGCCTCTCTTCCTCGCTCCAGGTGCTGCGGTACCAGACCCCCTCCCCCCTCAGGGTGCCGCTCCCTCAGGTGTGTCCCAGGTAGACCCGGTTGAGCCTGTCGAGGTAGCTGTTGACTCTCGTCCTGCTGGGGGTGCTGAGCCTGACCGTGAGGAGTCTGAGGGTACTGAGCCTGGGGGTGCGGAGCCTGGGGGTGCGGAGCCTGGGGATGCTGAGCCTGACCGTGCTGAGTCTGGGGGTGCTGAGCCTGGGGGTGCGGAGTCTGGAGGTGCTGAGCCTGGGGGTGCTGCGTCTGGGGGTGCTGTGTCTGGAGGTGCTGAGCCTGAGCGTGCTACACCTGGAGGAGCCCTCTCCTCCCAGCAGCTGCAGGAGAGGTACCTGCAGTACTGCCGCCTCCGGAGAGGTGCTGCTGGAGCTCGTACCAGTACTTCCCCTCCTACCCAGGAGCTCCCCCCCATTCAGCAGATCCGAGAGTGGTACGCGCGGCGCTGCAGTCTTCGGAGTGGTGCTCCTGGTGCTGCAGACCCTGGGGGTGGCGCTGCTGCTGGTACTGAGGACCCGGGCGGTGGCGCTGCTGCTGGTGCTGAGGACCCGGGCGGTGGAGCTGCTGCTGGTGCTGAGGACCTGGGCGTTGGAGCTGCTGCTGGTGCTGAGGACCCGGGCGGTGGCGCTGCTGCTGGTGCTGAGGACCCGGGCGGTGGAGCTGCTGCTGGTGCTGAGGACCCGGGCGTTGGAGCTGCTCCTGGTGCTGAGGACCCGGGCGGTGGAGCTGCTGCTGGTGCTGAGGACCCGGGCGTTGGAGCTACTGCTGGTGCTGAGGACCCTGCTGCTGGTGTCTCTACTGGTTCTGGAGACGCTGCGCGGCCGCGACCGTACTTCGTACCGCTCCTTCAGCAGGTTCTTGGTCAGGCTCCTTCTCCTTGTCCTCCTCCCTCCGTAGAGTGTCCTCCGCCTGTCCAGCCGCAGTCACAGTTACCGCCTGCCTCGCCTCTCCCTGCTCCCTCTCCCTACACTGGTCCCACGGGAGGTCTTACAGAGCGTCGTGAGCCTGAGTCTCGTCCTGCGTCGCCTGTTCGTACTGCTCGCACTGGTCGTCGTGTCCCACGTGAGCGTCCTCCTCCTGTCCCTGGCACTCATTACATGACTCTGCGTCCCTCCACTGCTCCTCAGCGTGTCCCGCTACCGTCTCCTCCCGCTTCCTCTCTTCCTACTCTTCCTGACCCGGAGTCTGACTCCCGTCGTGCTGCCAGTCCCACTGTCACGCGCCTCCTCGCTACTGTTGTCACTGACCCTACCTTTGAGTCCTCTGCTGCGTCTGCGCTGGTCGCTGAGCTGGTTGACTTTGCTGCCCGGTGTCGTCTAGACTACGCTGCTAGCCTTGTCGCTGAGTCTGAGTCTGAGTCTGTCTGTCCTCCGTCCGTCGGGGGTGAGTGTGCTCTTGGCACGGACGTCCTTGAGGACAGACAGGAGGAGTTCCAGTGCCTTGCTGCTGTTTTGCCCCGTCTCGTGTCCTTACTAGTTGCCCCTGAGGGAGACCCGGATGCTCCTGACATCCCGACCCCGCGCTCTTACGCTGAGGCGATGGCGGGTCCCTACTCCTCTCAGTGGCAGACAGCCATGGACGCAGAGATGGCTTCCTGGAAGTCCACACGCACCTACGTCGACGAGGTTCCCCCTCCTGGGGCGAACATCGTCAGTGGCATGTGGATTTTCAGGGTGAAGCGGCCGCCGGGTTCTCCTCCTGTCTTCAAGGCGCGCTACGTTGCTCGAGGCTTCAGCCAGCGAGAGGGAGTTGACTTCTTCCAGACCTTCTCCCCCACCCCGAAGATGACCACTCTTCGGGTGCTGCTGCACATAGCCGCTCAGCGCGACTACGAGCTTCACTCACTTGACTTCAGCACTGCTTTCTTGCAGGGCAGCCTGCACGAGGAGATCTGGCTGCGTCGCCCTCCTGGTTTCACTGGGTCGGTTCCTCCTGGTACCCAGTGGAGGCTCCAGCGGCCGGTCTACGGTCTCCGCCAGGCGCCACGTGAGTGGCACGACACACTGAGGACGACACTTGCGGCTCTAGGGTTCGCTCCCTCTACTGCTGACCCGTCACTGTTTCTACGCACAGACACCTCGCTGCCGCCGTTCTACATCCTCGTGTACGTCGACGACCTGGTCTTTGCCACTGCTGACACCGCGGCACTCGCCCACGTGAAGTCGGAGCTGCAGAGGAGACACACGTGCACAGACCTGGGGGAACTGACGAGCTATCTTGGCTTGCGGATCACCCGGGACAGAGCACGACGCACCATCACCTTGACTCAGTCACACATGGTGCAGCAGATCCTTCAGCGCTTCCGCTTCACGTACTCCTCGCCTCAGTCCACTCCTCTGCCTACCAGTCACTCGCTCTCAGCTCTGCCTTCGGATGAGTCCGTAGAGCCGAGTGGCCCGTATCCAGAGCTTGTGGGCTGTCTCATGTACCTGATGACCTGCACTCGACCTGACCTGGCATACCCTCTTAGCATCCTTGCACGCTATGTCGCTCCTGGCCGTCACAGGAAGGAGCACATGGATGCCGCTAAGAGGGTGTTGCGCTACTTGTGCAGTACGTCGGGCATGGGGCTAGTGCTTGGAGGGCGAGACCGAGTTGTACTCACAGGACACTCAGACGCCTCTTGGGCTGACGACCAGGCTACTCAGCGGTCGTCTTAGGGTTACACCTTCAGCCTTGGCTCTGGCTCAGTTTCTTGGCGTTCTACACGCTCTTCTTCTGTTCTCAGCTCCAGTTGTGAGGCTGAGATCTACGCCACAGCCATGGCTGCCCAGGAGCTACGCTGGCTGACCTACCTGCTGACCGACCTGGGAGAGCGGCCTCGTTCTCCTCCAGTGCTGTACGTCGACAACAAGGCTGCCATTGCCTTGTGTGAGGAGCACAGACTGGAGCACAGAACGAAGCACATCGCCCTGCGGTACTTCCTTGCTCGAGAGCTGCAGCAGCGCGGTCAGCTTTGTATTCGTCACGTGGCCACTGAGGCCAACACTGCTGATGTGTTCACCAAGGCGCTTCAGCCTTGTGACCATCAGCGCTTCTGCACTCTGCTAGGCCTTGTGCCTACTGGACCTCATTTGCTTACTTCTTGACCCTGCTTGTACTGTGATCACTATATATATGTATACCTGCATGTTCACTCTTGCTAGGTTGTGATCACTGTATCTCTTGCTCTATTATAAACCTGCATGTGGACTGGTCTTGTGACCGCTTGTTTGTGCTCGGAATTTGTGTGGAATCCTTGAGATCCACCCTGAGCTTGCCTTTCTTTGCTTTGACTGGTCTCGTGACCCTCTGGTTGTCTCCCACTGCGCCTATGGGGGTGTGTCAAACATTATATGTTTATATGATTGTAGGCTGTAGTGGGTTACACCTTAGGGGGTACACTAGATTAGGGTTTCCTACTTGTATCCAACTTTGTGCTAGTACAGTCATTCCTGTCTGTTGACTTCGACACTAAGGACCCTAAAAACTACGAATTTGACCAGCGCGAAATGCACTACGTGCAGCCAGAATCGTATATGAATGATTGTAACTAAAAGTATGTACATTCGTGGGGGAGTGCCTAAGGTAGGAGGTAGTTTAATGGAGGCTACTTAATACTCTCTAAGGCTAGAGGCTGCTGGCTGGCGTGGCGAATGTAAATTGAGGAGGAATAAATCCCCTCGATCGCTCTACATTTGGGCTAGGGTTTCGGCCCTAGCCCTGTCGAAATCGGGTCGCGCACCTGGCCCGACCCGCTTTTGACATTTCTGACCCGAAATCAGATCGGGTCTGGCCCGACCCGAGACCCGGCTCGGCCCGGCCCGAACTAGGCCCCCGGGTCGGGTCTTAACCCGGGTCGGGTCGGGTCGGCCCGTACGGGCCAGAGTTTCTGAAACTTTGACCCGACCCGGGCAAAACCACGGGTTGGGTCGGGTTGGCTTGACCCGAGCGGGGCACCTGCTCATGTCTAGCTCTGATGTAGTTTATTTTGTCATTACCATTTCAACTATTGTTGCTCAGTTCTCGTTGTGAATGCGCAAGTAGAGAAAACATTAAGGAACGCTACGATCACTCATACAACCCGTACCTTCCAACGTAGTCCAGCTCTCGTTGTAAAGTGTATCTCCGCAGTTACAGTTTGGGAGGAATTGGGCAACTTGAAGTCCAGTTAATTATTGCTTGAACAATCTGGCCGATTTTTAAGCCAGACGTTAGCCTAGATGACCTCTTCTCCCTTCCCCGATCCCGGGGCAAGCATATTCGCGTGTGCAGTGTAGGTCGGCCACCAAATTGCCGATCCGCAGACATTGAGTTCAAGTGGCGGAACGGTCGGCCCGATTCGCCACAGGTGACCCGACCCTACAAGCCTGAATCAGGTCGGCTTCCTTGGGTTTTGACCCATGGGGACGAGTCTACATGTTGCTCATGCCTAGTCTGAATCGCCTGCTTGCGTTGCAAAATGAATGCAGCATCATGCGTGGCCCGGCACGGCCAAGCAGGTGCTGCACTGCACACTTGCACGCTGCGCATTGCTCTTTTGTTTCCCTAGATTGCTCACTGTGTTTTTATTTTTCATGGCATTTCCTTGCTTCCGACCACTTTGATTTTTTTTTCCACCATTGTCTCTTCCACATGGAACACCTATCAGAAGTTTGAATGACAACCAACTTAGTGGAAGCCTGCCCAGCATATTTGTAACAGAATCCATCAGCATATTGTACATTCCTATGAGTTGAAATGGAATGAGAACAGCTGTGAGATAGGAAACACGGGCTGCTGACTATCCTTGAGGTCTTTTTGATGGGCACGAAATTATTGACCAAGATTTATCTTGATGGTTTTGTAAGGAACAGTTTGGCGATGTGTTTGTGGTGACAGGAACCTTCAAGGAAATCGATTGTCGGGCCCTCTTCCCGATTTTGCACATTGGAACACATCTCTTGCATCCTTGTAAGTCTGGCATGGCCAGCAAATTGGTGCCATGGAGGAAGGTTTGGGGGAACGTGCAGGCTCATGGGATTGTATGTTTCCATTCAAGGTTTTGTGTTCAGTTTTGTGGGATTCTTGTTGTTCACTCGTTTCCCATACCACTCCAGGTATCTAGGAGACAACAACTTTACAGGATCCATACCGCAATCAATCAGCATGCTGACTTCACTCAACGCCATGTGAGACATCTATCGCCATGTGCTTTAATTACCTACACCGTCCATACCATCTCCTATTTCTCCTAAACCAGTAAGATCATCCTTTTATTGTCTTGTGCGTGACCTCTGCAGTTCCTTGGCCTTCAACCAGCTATCAGGGACCTTGCCTGCATCTATTACGACCCTCACCAATCTCGAAGCCATGTAATTCACGTACCTTTTGTTTGCCATGATTTCGGAAACGTACAAGCATAGCCCACCACCACTCGCTGCTCAATAGTACCTCCACATATGATGTCCTTGTTCTAATTATCCTGTCAGTCAATTAGACTAGTAATTAATTTTCCGTGCTCAAACGATTCTCACTCATGCACGTCCATTAGAGGCCTGGCGAGTAATGTTCAAGGCACCTCAATAGCCGTTTCCATGCACCCATGGTCTTGTGCCATGCATCCATCGCGCTACACCCCCATCAGAGACCTAGCAGGCAACATCATCTCAGGACCCTTACCCACTGGTCTCGGGACCCTCTCCAACCTTCGTACCCTGTAATTAGATCTTATTCTACAGACTTATGGTGCGTAACCACTTTGCACTTTTATGACGGTTGCAATTTTGTCAACAACAAATAGTCATGTGATTGGCCGTTGCGTAGGCAGTGACGACCAATTACATGACGGTTCGTTGTTGACGAAATTGCAACTGTCATGAAAGTGCAAAATGGTTACGCGCTCTTAACCATGTGTTATACTACGCGGTGACGGGCCGAGGGCACCCCACCAGGACCGACCATGGCCCAGGTCCGGTGGGCCTGATCGGACTCTCCGATTCGGACGTTGAATGCTGAATTGGAATTGGACGCCTGATGTTTGGGAAATTGCTACATCTTGACACTACTCCCTGACTCGTTGAAATCGAAATTTGTACCTCAACCTCCCACAAATTCGCTAACATTGCCGATCATAGCCAATTCTCTCCCTCTACCATTTTTTTTAAAGCACATAGACTATAAAAGCTAACAGTTTCCAGATTTGAAATTTGGACAGAGCCTGAGTCTCAAGTTGCAAGGCGCACAGGTCAAGTATGTAAAACATGCTGAGGCTTGTGCAAACTTGAAAGAACTGCACTTGCAATTAGGGACAATCGAGCACCCACCAGGGGGAAAGTTGAGGATTGGCTGTGAGTGGCGAAGAAAAAAACGAATTTGACGATATGGAAACTCTTGCCACAACCCCGAAGCTGTACTGCCTCCCCATCAACCTTGTAAAACATGATCAGCCCCATCAACTTGGGCTGTGGGCTTTAAGGGTGAGTAAGGGTTTATATTGCGATTCCTTTTCCTTGCCACAACAATATTGCACACTGGAAGCGCTAATATCATGCATTAATCGCGTAGTTTCAACCCCCAATGGCTCCAATCCCTCTCCCCCTCCCCTCCCCCACATGCTTATCGTGCACATTCTTCAGTGTTACGCACTCTTGTTCCCCCCAACTACCAAACTTTAACTTGTGATGTTTCAACATGCATGGTATGTGTTCAGGGAATCGGTGAGTGAAGGAACAAATCGTGTGAAATCTACTCAGAGATGCTAAAACACAAGAGGAAAATGGCAATGACTCTCCAGTGTAATTAAATAAAGTTTGGAACATATTTTTAGATGGGATTTTGATTTGTGGCGTGTGCTGCTAAAGTCGCCCGACTTGGGCAGCAGAATGACCGGACCAGCAATGCCTGACCCACGAAAAAAAGGTTGCAACATCCTGGGTAACCTCCAGCTGAAAGTTGAGCTGGCCCAAGTCTAATGCCTTTACTTCGTGACTGTGAATTTCCACGTTGAACTGGTTCGACTCAAAACAGATGTCCACTTCAACCATTTGGATCTGAAGCTGAATTGTAGGCAGCTTGTCCACCACCTCCCACCTTCACACAAGTTATTCCCCCCTTATGTTTTCATGCAACCTAACACACCATAGTGGGATTGGGACTTGACACTGTTGATTCGTTGTTCATGCCTACTCTGATCTGATCCGGTGCTTCTGCATGCTGGCAGGTCCGTGTCTGACAACCAGCTCACCGGAAGACTCCCTCCTTCAGTATGCAACCTCACCAAGCTAGAACAAATGTAATTTCTCGTATACCACTCCAATCCATGGTGTGTTATTACTGTAACGCACTGTTCTAACAACTATTAGCATTGCTGGCACTGCAAACCTGTTCTCAGGTTCACCTCCAAGGGTCCTTGGGTACTTGACCTAGGTCAGTCTCTATCCAAGGGTCCGAATATGTAGATAGAGGGCTGCAATAGAAGTAAGGTTGCAGTAGCAGATCATTATTTATCAGCGTTGTTAAACTTCTGAATGTAGCAGCATTTGTCGTGGCAGGCACAGGAGGAAGAATTGTAAGCAAGTACAAGCACTTCTTATACTCATCATATTGCACTCTGCCCTGGCCAATTCCGTTTTTTTGTTTACCTTTGCAACTTCCTCTGTTGTAGCGCAAACACTTTCCAGGTTTCCGACCCTTTTATTTTGCAGCTTGGCGGTCTCGCGATTCGCCGTGAAACATTATAAGACTTTTGCGCGACTTTATTTCAACAGTTTTGATACGAGATGAACTTACTGCTTGTTTAGAAATGGTTGAAACTATGCCGTTTAGAGAAGTGCGCGAGGTAACTCATCTCAATTAGCGAGATGAGCTGGACCAATTGTGTTAACCAAACTTCGGAGCTGCAGGCAGTTCGAACTCGAGCTTTGCTGTCGAAGGCGCAGACCTTTTAGGTTTGAGGTTTCTCATTCTTGCTCTCGACACTGTATATGTGGGTTACGACCTATTAATAAAACTTAAAACTTGCTGTCGAAGGTTGGCTTGCCACATGCCCTCTTCCCCCTTCTCGAGTCTGATGTGTCAGCAGTGACAAGAGTGAATAACCACACACACAATTCATGAGCTCGGTTCGTGCGCAGCCACCGGCATTGCCACGCGAGCAGCAGCCACTCCCTAACTCGCCGACGAAGTCACTGCACGAACGGCAGCCAATCTCAACCCTATTATAAATGGTGGTGCAAGCTGCTGTGATCTCGCCCCGCGAACAGATGCCATTCACTCTGATTGGCCTAAAAAATATCAAAGTCACAACTTGTTTTTTTTAAATCACCGTCGATCCCCATTGTTCGAACTGAGACTTTTCTTCTGAACTGCTCCCCTAAACACTCGCTTAGAGGAAACTCACTGTACCACTTCAGCTGCTCGATGTAAACCCTCAGAAAATTGGCTGATTGTTAAACAGAAGTTATTTCTGTATTCAACAATCTATACGTTATTTTATTCTTCTTTTTCTTCACTTTCGCGAAATTTCCATGGCTGTTTCCAGAAGGCAGCAATCCAATAGCTCTAAATGTTTCCCTTGTTCTTACTGGACCTCCACATGTTCAGCTGCTTGCTAGTGCCGATTCAATCAGCCATAATGATTACTTCCTTGCATGACGTGCTCTAACTGTTCCAGTTTTATTTGCAACAACTACTTTTATGGAGAGTTTCTGTCATGCCTCTTTGAACACTGCTTGCACAAGATGTGAGTAATGTTCCCCGACATTGTGTAAGAATACAAACAATGACAAACAACGTGGTTCTTGAAAATGGAAAATGCATACACAGCCCTTGGCATGATCTAAACAACAAACCACAGTTTGGATGGATGCGGTTTGGTCTGCATCGAGCTGAACCCAGACCCGGTCTGATTTAAACCTGTTCAATGTCTGTTTCTTCCTACCCGTGTCAAACTGAACCGGTTTGTCATTGACTTCGGTTAGACGTGGAAACCCACCCGACTTGAGGTGCTTGGGTCCTTCCCTATAAGTCCAGACCGGTTCAGCTCCCACAGGGCCCTGACTCGATTTTGAGATAAACCGAGGAGTCCCAAACCCCAGCTGGGTCAGGCCTGGGGTGGGATGGGTTGGGACGGGTTGACATGGTCACACACACACACACACACACACACACACACACACACACACACACAAACACACACACAAACACACACACACACACACACACACACACACACAAACACACACACACACACACACACACACACACACACACACACACACACAAAGAAAAGGGCAGCTGCAGATAGAAATTGCAACCCGATGTCGGAGTACCCTCCGCGCTTCTTGTTGTCGCCCCTATTTCCATTGTTTCCAGCGACATCAGCAACAACAGCTTCTACGGCCCCATCAACAGCAACTTCCGCAGCATGATTCCTGACAACGGCGCTCTGCTCAACATCGCAGGCAACTTCTTCTACGGCGACCCCATGCTCTACGCCGATGGCTGCCAGTTCTGCCCCTCAGGGGTCATTCAGAAGCCCCTCGTCTTGACACCAGGAGACCTCACCAACCCCTCTGGCGGCCGCTGTGCACCCGAGGGTGTCGGGGGATTTGTTCAGACGGCACGTGCAGGGGCCAACAAGCGGGGCGAGGCGAGCCTGCAGAGGAACTGTTTCACTTTAAACAAGCAGATGGAGTGCACGGCGAACGAGACGCAGCGCAGCAGCGACGAGTGCCTGGCATTCTGCAGCTTGTCGCGGGAGCTGGGGCCGTGCGACGGGCACGGAGCGTGTGTGCCGCCGCAGGCGGGGGCAGCAGAGGCGCGCTTCACGTGTGAGTGCGACGACGGCTTCGTCCCCACCAACGGCACCCTCGGCTCCACCTGCGCCCGCCCTGCCCCGCCCCCTGCTGCAGGTATGCCCGCCCCCTCCCCCACCCAGGTATGTTGCGTGATTGGCCAGGGGATTGCAGCAGGGTGTCCGGTTTTTCAAGTGTGTTGGCGTGTTTATCTTTTTTTATATGTACTCTTTGTAGCTTCAGCTGCCATATTAGATACCACTGTAAGCTTGTAAATGTGATGCTGGGATGGTAAGGAGCATTGGAAGTTTGTAAATGTGGAGCTGGGAAGGTCGTCAAGTCAAGGAACATTAGTTTTATTTGCATTTATTTCTGTTTACTGTACATCGCTTGTTCCTCCTTCCTGAATGGTCTGCCCTTCCCCTCCCTGCCCCACCCCCCCACACTCCCGTCTCCAGCGCTCTCCATGGGTGCAGTGGTGGGCATCGCTGTGGGCTCTGCTGCTGCCTTTGCTCTCCTCCTCGCTCTCGTTGTCGCGCTGCTCTGGCCCCGCCAACGAAGTGAGCCACCCCCCTTCCCTCCCAGCTGTCATTTTCATCATATATTCATGCCCAGGGAAAAAGTATACTGCAGTTTGCATTGGCTATGCATGACCAAACCATCAAGCCAAACTGTGCAACTTTTTTCAGCCAGCGATTTTGAGTCAAATACTCTGGTGTTAAGGTGTGATCTTCGGTTCCACATATGCAAACACTGGTGGCTATTGGGGCGCACAGTTGAGGGGCACTCGAATGTGAGTTCGATCCACCATTTGTTTCACGACCTGAATGTGGCGTGCACGACTTGGGTCAATGCGAGCCGAAATGAAAGTCTGTTCGGGGCAGTGTGGGGCCAAACCAGCCTGTGTCAGGCTGAGTCCTAGGCCGACCCATGCTTGCGCCTGTAGTCTTTGAGTGCTAGCTTTTGACTCCGTTGTCTCTCCATTGGTGTGGCAGGGAAGTGGGGCGACCTGGACGTGTGTCACGAGTTCAGCATAGGGGAGATTCTGCGGGCGACAGACCATTGGTCGAGCGAGAGTGTGCTGGGGAAGGGAGGCTTTGCCACGGTGTACAAGGGCGTGTCGGAGAAGGGCGAGCTGTGGGCCATCAAGCGCAATGAGCTCATGTCCAACGACTTCGAAAAGGAGGTCAGCCAGGGAATTGCCTGGGTTGATGGGGCTTGCTTGGAGTGATATTGAAGGCATTGAGATGTTCAGACAAAGTGTGTCCCTGTATCACTGGACCAATCTGGCTTTCGTTCAGGAAGTCTTAACTTTGGCGCCAGACATTTGCTTTACTGTGTAAGGATCAACTTAACTCCTCACAGTCCTCTCTTCCATATTCCCACGCATTTTGCTACACCAAAATTGAAAAACACTCAAATGCAAAATGATTCTGACTGTGATGAAAGCCCTACCCGAAGGAAACGCGAGCAAATTTGATTTAAATATGTGTGTGTCTCGAACATGTATATGTCCCTTGTATCACCTAAATTCTAGAATTTGTTCAAGTCGAGCCGAATGTGCTTCAAAAGGTATACGGTTTGTGTTTTTCCCCAACCCCCCCTCCTTTGCCACGGGCAGGTGCGGGCAATGGCATCGCTGCGACATGAGAACCTTCCTCTAACCCCTTCTTCTGCACAAATACTCTTTAAACCTTCCTCAGGTGCGGGCGATGGCGTCGCTGCGGCATGAGAACGTGGTGCGCCTGTTGGGCTTCTGCCTGCATCAGAACGTGGAGAGCGGCCAGCAGGAGCAGATCCTCGTATATGAGTTTGTGCCCAACAGGGACCTCAAGCACCACATTCACGACTCCAAGTGTACGCTCCCATTCCTGTACTCTTCAAGTTGTCCTTATGCTAGTATAGCAATTCATATGCTAGTTCTTTGCTACTTACAATTAATCCCTCATAAAAGGCTACAGCTAACTCTGCTAGTTACAGTAGCCTTGCCAAGGTGCAATAAAGAGATGGCCGCGTTTTAAAAATTTTACCCTATTCGGCCATGCAACGTTCATGCATAGGAGTGAGTCTGAATGAATGCCTCACACTCGACAATGATGGCAGCCATCCACCAACCTGACGAAGTCTATTGAATTGATTGGCCAATTCAACATTGGATCAATTTGGCAGAGTATCAGTTGAGCCCTCTTTCACTTAACCAAAATACTGAGTTGAAATGGTCAAGTGAAAACCGAACCGCCTTTCCTTGTTACTCAATTCGTTCATGTAGTGTGATTGAGACGAGTTTTTTCCCTTACCTCCTTCTTGCCCTCAGCTTCTGGTAGGCAATGTACCATTGTGTGATGTCGAGGGATGTTGGTTGGTGGTACTGGCAT